AGCTGTAAAGCAAAGAGATGTACGATCACATGTTGCTATGCATAGCCTCGAAAATAGCCATCAGTTCGGCTTCGACAAGGCAGAAGTTATCGGCCGAGCTGAAAGCAAAATGGCGAGAGAGATAATCGAAGCCTGGCAATCAAACGCCCACTCGATCAACCGTAGGATTGACCTACCGGCTCCATACGAGGCCGTCAGACCCCACTTGGGCAGAAAGCAAGGGCCAATGGGAAGAGAGAACAATGGACCTATCAATAGTGAGTAAGAAAGACCTATTTAAACCTTGTATTCCCACTTTTAATCTATCTCCGATGATGCGCTCAAGTATGAGTGTGAAACGTCAGATGAATAAATCATCCTCCCCAGAGATCTCTTTACCTTCTTCCATATATATATATAATGGTAGGGGGCGCTCACCGATCGTTCATACGGAACTCGCTCGCTCCGTTGTGCCTTAAGGGCTCTCTCTCGAGCGCAACCAGCAGCCGCACAGCTGCGCATGATATCTTTGTCGGTAATAGCATTCTGCCTATATATATATATATATATATATATATATATTGTGGTAGGGGGCGCTCACCGATCGTTCATACGGAACTCACTCGTTCCGTTGTGCCTTAAGAGCTCTCTCTCGAGCCCAACCAGCAGCCGCACAGCGGCGCATGATACATAGGCAGAATAACATTACCGACAAAGACAAGGGAGACTGGAATGGCCATTTCTGGCTTATTAGCCGTCGTCAGCCAGCCACACCCAAGCCCGAAGTGTGGAACACCCGAGCCTCGAACTCGCGACCTGTTGGTTTAGAAGTCAACGCCTCTACTCACCGGGCCACGAGCCCGTTGCCTTGTCGGTTTTCGATCAGGAATATACAATGTTAGGGGGCGCTCACCGATTGTTCATACGGAACTCACTCGTTCCGTTGTGCCTTTAAGGTCGCGAGTTCGAGGCTCGGGTGTTCCACACTTCGGGCTTGGGTGTGGCTGGCTGACGACGGCTAATAAGCCAGAAATGGCCATTCCAGTCTCCCTTGTCTTTGTCGGTAATGTTATTCTGCCTATATATATATATATATATATATATATATATATACAAACTGAAAAGCTGCTCATAAACGTGACCGTCGTTACTGACGATGTTCACTGTGTCCCCCAGCAGGGCGGGCTCAGGGGCAGTGACTTTCGCGTGAATTCATTTAGAATGATAGCAGACTTGCGCTGCATCAACTGCATCCTCTCGTTCGTCACCGTCCTGGGCCCAGTGTCAATAATTAAGAAGGGCGGAGAGGCGTTTGGGCACAGGTGGCCGGGGTAGCGTGAGCCCGCTCCTAGGTGTGCCGTCACGCCCGGGATATGCGGAATTTATGGCGGGTTTGGAGCACCGTACGCGGGCTGACCCTGGTCGGCTTCCGTGTTGGTCCAGTGCAACTCCCGCGCGACCCGTTCCAGAAGGATTGAAACTGAGGGATCGGACACGAAAACAAGTAATCCCTGTGCCAGAGGTGGTCGTGCACAAAGTCTTCCAACTCATTCTCATGACCTAACTTTAACTATGACCCTCCTAACACTAACCCCCACAACTCAGACCCCATTAACCGCAACTCTTACTACCCTTACTCCACTGGAATTTGGTGCAAAGCCACCCGCAATACTGGCGGTCCACATTCCCGTGGCCTACCAGCTAGACTAAATTACCAAAAGTTAAACATCTCTTAAACAATTCCTGGCTTTCATTATCCAGCCCCAAAATATATTTCTGTCTTAACCGAAAGGTACTTTTGAGATTCGTCTTCCTCCTGCGACCTAATGCACCGTGTGTACAAAGTTTAACTACTGTGCAAAAACGTCCCTGATCTGGTTACTGTCTTCGGAAAAATGTCTGTAAAACTTTGGAAATTTGCATGAACCGTAGGAAATCAAATGCGCATCTTAGTATTCCACTGGAGGACACGATACGGTATAACACTACCGCCAAGAGAACTCTAGGGAACCGATTACAATATAACAATTAAATCTTTGAATCTCTCAGTGCCAAATTAATCGCGAAATCCGTTATGTTTTAGTTTCTGACGGAGAATTTTTCTAGAAGTAAGTTAGATGCCCCAAATGAAAAAACATGGTTATAGAGAAGGGCATCTTTCAAGGCCGGCATTCACCAACGATCAGAGTTGGTCTTAAATGGCTCCTCATTGTTCAGAACAGGGTTGTTAATGCTGTCCGCGTAAGGACATTGTGACAGTGGGTCTTTTTCACTGCAGCTACTGCCCTTCCAGACCTACCCTTCAAGCGTCGCACTGAGGACGAAACTGCGGAGGTGTGTTGGGACCCGACGAATTCTTCAGCGTCCTTAGGTGCCGACGGATGTGGTTTCGACCGGAACCCACCGATGTCTGCCCCAACAGGAGACCCACGACGGGAGGAGTTTCGAGTAGAGGAACCGCTGTATAATGTAGACGCCGCCACAGCGAACATCACAGTCCATGATCATGCCCCCAAAATGCCGTTGCGCCCAAGCAGGCCAACTTACATGCTCTGGCGATGCTAAACCCTGGTCTTCGACCTGAGCTCCGAGAAAACAGAGCAGGAGATTTGTCACTTTGTACCGTACCTATGACAGTGATTTCTTCGTTTGTTTGTAGGGGTTGTAGTGGTTCTGGACGCAAGTTACGGCTCTACTGTCATTTCCGGTTCGTTGATACGATTGACTGGCTACAGTTCTACGATATTTTGACAAGAGTACACTACTGCAGATGCACAGCAGTACACTTAAACACGTGGAGTGTAACATACGCGACGTCCTGGCCGAATAAAGAAGGCTGGACCATGATCGTGGCAGTAAAACGCTCGTAAACGACGATGTCCCCGATGTGCCCCTCGGCAAAGTGCGCGCCGGGACGGTGACTTGCGCGTGAATTAGGTTATAGTGATTGCAGACTGGCACAGCATCTAACACACAATCCTCAACCACCTGAGTCCAATGTCAAGACAGAATCAAGAAGAGCGGAAGGTTAAACAACCCACCTACATGTGCCACACATGCCTGAGGCACTTACGAGGCTTCAGGCTATCACTGAACCAATAGGCGACGATTCTCTTCTCATCTGAATTGGAGTTTCATAGAGGCCATACCAAGATGGAGCTTTGAAAGCCTGACTTTCCGTCAACCTTTTTTCTACAAGGTACCAGTCCACTGTCCAAACCGGTCAGTTATCTGATGCGATTCTTGGACGCAAGTGGTTGATAGATCTGAGCAGTTGGTCTGCATGTGACACACAAGACCTTACCCTCCAAACACCACACCGGGTTTTCACACAAAGAGACTGTACTGCTCAAATTTCGCCTGCGTTATAGCTTGATAATGGCCACGTGGAGAGGAAGCCCAAGAATACTCCTTCCACTTACGTGAATGGCACCTATTTTGTGTTTATGTTGCTTGTTGTGGGACGAATTCATGTACTATATTTGGCATGGTGGGGAGATGTGTAGTGATGGGGTTTGGACCGTGGTGATTTGCCAGAGATTTTTATGGAGACACAAGGAGCCGAGTGGGTCCAGGTGATAACTGATACAACAACCCTACTTAAGTAGTCTTTTTGAGAAGAAAACGTATTTCGGAATTTTGGCCAACATTTCATGAGTTAGAATATCTACTGTACGTATACACAGTCAGAATACTGACTCACCGGTCGGTTCTACGGAATTCCCTTGTCCGCTTGTGCCGTATGGCTCTCTCTCGAGCCCAACCAGCAGCCGTACAGCGGCGCATGATATCGGCAGAACGATATTACCGACAAAGACAAGGGAGACTAGAATGGCCATTCCTGGCTTTCTACCATCGTCGACCAGTCATACCCAACCCCGAAGTGTGGAACACCTGGGGCTCGATCCCGCGACCTGTTAGTTGGAAGTCCACCGCCTCTAACCACTGAGCCACTTGCTCCTTGTCTTGTCGGTTTAGGGGCGCTGATCTCTATTATAATTTGCGACTTTTCCTTAAGAAGCGTCCGTCCCTCGGAGTTAGGCAGCGGTTTGGTTGCTCTGGTTGTGGAACCGTAGACCGCTTTGTTTGACACGAGGACATCCTTCAATTCATTGTGTTCTATGCATTCTTGTATCCCCTCGGCATCCCGATGCACCCCCGAATCTTGCACTTCCCACAACCCTTAAGCTCTATGCGGCGACGTCTGAAGAAGGCCGCTTTGTTTGCGTCTGTACCGCGATTGTCATAGGATTTGTGCAAATATTCTTCTCGGCGGGCAGATTGCGGCGTCTTGATTTCGACAGCGTGGGCGTCCCATGACGTCAAGGAAGGTAGAGCGGATGATGTTACGCGTTTGGCGCCGCTGCGTTCCCGCGGTGACGTTGCCATCCGCCAGTCAATGGATTACATCGACCCAATGAACAGGAAAGATCGACAAAGCAGCATTTAGTTTGAAAAGAAGACAAATGCGCGATAACTGGGGCGGTAGCTTTTTAACCGGAATTTTTCAAACTCGAACAGGAATTCATCATCAGAGACTGCCGGAGCGCAACAACGTGTGAGCATCTACACAGTCTACCGTACGGGTGGGGGGGGGAGGATTAAGTCCATGTTTACGTCGGGCTCGTGCCGCCTGACCCAAAATAGTGTCACGGCTTGGTTTGTCCTTGGCGAAGATGTGAGCCGCCCAGGGTGTGGGGGTGTCCAGTTGTGGGTCCGCGTGAAGGCTGAATTAGGTCACCTACTTGCTTGCAGGCATGGGCTCGCCTAGTGTCCATTAAGTGGCACCCAACTCTCACCTGTGGCTTATTGAAGCCAGGCTCTGCTTAACGGAACATCCCAGTAAACGCCTCGAACGACGGGATAGACCAGGGGAGGGAATCAGGGTGTAGCCAGCGACACGGTAATTCTACTCTCTCCCTCCTTCTCTCCACGCCTTTTCCACACCTCTTTCCCTTCTTTTTCTACTCCCCTATCCTCCGATCCCATTATCCATCCTTCTTCTCCACCCTTCCCTCGTCCTACTCCTCCATCGTGAGCGCATACGCCCTCTGATGACCGGATTTGACTCGACGAGGAACAAATTCTACGAGAACGTGCACGCCCTCTTGGCGACTACGCCGAAGGCAGACAAGTTCCTTGTCCTTGGTGTCTTCAACGCTCGCGTTGGCATAGACTATGCTGCCTGAAGAGGAGCGCTGGGTCACCATGATCTCGACGGTTTCAACGACAATGACCTGCCCCCCCCCCCCCTTACGAATCTGCGCAGGGTATCACCTCATCCGGACTAACACCTACTTCCGCCTTCCAGCGCGGGGGAGGGCCGCCTGGATGCACCATCGGTCGCGACATTCGCACCTCCTGGACAATGGCCCCGTCCGGAGGCGAGACCAGCGGAACGTGCCGGTGACAAAAGCGATCCCCCAGCAATAAAATCGACGATAAAGTCGCCCGCCAGATTTCCAAAGCCAGTCAAGCATTCGGCCGTCTGCAAAACACAGTTAGGGATCGGCACGGCCTCCGCTTCAGCGCCAAACTGCAGATGTACAAAACGGTCATCCTGCCGACGCTGCAGTGTGGAGCGGAGACCTCGACGGTGTACAAGAAGCAGGCACGAAGACTCAACCACTCTTACCTCAGCTGTGTCGGACGGATGCTGAAGCTGAGGTGACAGGATTCGATCCCCGACACGGATATACTGGAACAGACGAGAATTCTCAGCATCTAAACCAAACTGCAACTGCGCTGGAGCGGTCATCTTGTGCGCCTGGACGACGACCGGTTACCCAAGCGACTCCTTCATGGAGATGAATCACGGGCTCCTGCCGACAAGGAGGTGAAGTCCGACGCCACATGGAGGCATCCCTGAGACGCCTGCAAATAAACTCGGCCAACTCGGGACCGACCGACCGACCTGGCGGAAAGCAGTGAAGACAGGCGCAGAGATCTACGAAACCACGCGCATCACCGCCAAAGCCTAACGTCAAGCTCGCAAAACTCATCTGCCGCCATCTCGCAACAGTTAACCGCCCTCGAAATGCCCACGATGCCAGCGGACGCTTCAGGTCTCAGTCTGTCTCAATGGGCATTTTCGTACCAACCGGAGCTCCCGGACTACACCACCCGATGTCCCCCCCATCCACCCGTGCCTCGCCCTCCACGTCAGCAATCAACCATAACCGCGCTTCTTATCCCTCATTGTCATCCTTCACCGCTTCATGATCTGCCGCGGAGGCTCCTGCCCTGCTTCCACTGCGTACAATCGTTACGCACTGTCAACACCAGCGATGTGGGCTCGGTCCAAACCTGTCCATATTGCGATCACACATTCACCTCGCACATCGGCCTAGTCGGCTACTTGTGAATCCCTTGCACGGAGACCGGCGAACCGGTGCCTGTAGCACTAGCCAACACCAGCCGCTGCCCTCACTGCCCCCCTCACATGTAGCCAAAACATGGGCCTACCAGGTCGCATGAGTATCCAAGAGAGCGGAATTCACCGCGGCCCCGACACACCTAGCACATTTCCAAAATTCACCATTTCTAGCCCAACCCCCACCTCGTCGCCAAGCGCGCCCACCACCACTGTCGCCACCGAAATCGACTTGGACACTCCCGGTCTACCCTGCTCATACTGCCCCATACACTCACCTCCCACATCGACCTGATCGGCCACTTGCGAATCCATCGCACGGAGACCGGCGAACCGGTGCCTGTAGCACCAGCCAACACCGGCCGCATCCGCATTAACTTCCCTTTCTGTCCCCCTGCTTTCGCAACCGCATGGGTCTATTAGATCACATGCACATTCATGCGAACCTGCGGAATACAACACTCGACACCACCACGTCATCACACATTCCCCCATCAGTTCCTGCACCAAATAACAACACCAAGTATCATAGGCATCGAACTGCCACCTCCCACGCTAATGAGAAGTGTGCATCTCGGCACCTTCCTATGCGGCTTCTCTGCTGCGTGTGCGATTCGAGTCTGAGACTCACGGTGCTTGAAGCACTGTGGCTTGGAAGGCTGCTGACTGGCGCCCCAGCTCAGTCTACGCAGTCTGCCCAGTTGTGTGTGCATATGTTTGTGTGGAGTGGCAGACTACTGGGCTGAGGGTAGGGCTGCCACTGATCCTTCTTAAAAAAGACCTCTGACACTCACACGGAGATGATGAAAGTGCGTGTACTTTATTGGTAGTGCCTCTGAGTCGTTGACTGACTGGTTACGTAACCATGGAAAAGTGATTGCCTCGGCAAATGTAGGACTGCGTGTCATTCTTCTGGGCCTCAAAAATAGTAAGCGGCAGGATAGGCAAACCGTGGCCATCGCAGTGTGTTGTGCACTGGTAGTTCTATGGCACCTGGCTCCGTGGCGGCAGATGAGATGGGTATGCAGGACCTGTTGTGGTACTGCATTTGTTGGTCAAAAACATGGTCAAGTGTTCTGTGGATCAGGGGGTGTGAAGTGGTGCGCCGAGGTGAAGGCTCGGTCGCGCCATCCACCTGCACCCTCCACGTCTCCGGTCTTCCTGGGTATGTCTTGACACCGGGTCCAGGTGGGAGGAGAGAGCGTGGTAGGCACTACGCAAGTACGCTCTCACTATGAAATAGTTCATCCGCAACTTGGCGTGCCTGTTTCACCTTGCTCTGGAGCACATGGTGGACTTCGTCAGTTGCGACGGTCGAACTGTCTTTGTGAGCAGCTCACCAACCTACAATCGTACGGTTGTATAAATGTTGCACTCTTACCGTCTCTGATGATGAACTCTGTCCCAGTCTGAAAGCTAGGACTACCAAAGCTACCGTCCAAGTGGTCGCACCTTAGCAATTCAGAGGGAACTTGATATGCGCATACTCTCTTCCACTCGTAAGTATTTAACTTGCCTGGTCATCGTTTACCTTTTGGTCTCCGACGTTGCAATCGGAGCCTCGTGCTACAGAGGGCAAGGCGGCCGTCGGCGTCGCAGATGGCCTTGTCACTAGCACCACCTTTTGATCTCGCCTCCAGACGAGAAAATAGTCCAGCAGTTGCCAACTGCGCGATCGGGATTGCATCCAGGTCGCTTCCTTTTGCGTCGGAACGCGAAAGGTGTTGGTCAAATGGAGACGCTGTTAGGCTCAGGTTCGCAGAAGGAAGTACCCGTTTTCGTTGAAGCGGCCGATTCCTTGAGGCCCAGAATGTCCCTCAAATGGCGTGCCCTGTCCTGACGCTGTCATTGGAGTTTATCTGTCTTTCGTATAGTCGCTAGCAAACGTAACGACGGACCTGGTGTATACTTCTTTTCCACAGCCTAAAAGCCTGGTTTGGTTTTTTTCTCCAAAAATCTGCGTTCAACACTGCGATCATGCCCTCGTTGGTCGCCGAGACGGACCCAATAAAGACGTCCGACGTACGTTTGCCACCACTCTCAAGAGTCGCTGAATTAACTCCCATCCTCCCTCGCCACCCTAAATTAAAGGATCTGATAGAGATGACAACCTGTCATCTTCATAGACGGTAAAGTATAATGCAGGACTTCTTCCGATTGTAACAAAGTTGTGGACCCCACCGCAAGTAGACAGCCGTCTGGAACGATTAAACCGTACCGTTTGGGGAGTAGTACTGCACAGACTTTCACGGTAGAAGGAATAGAAAACCTATTCAAGATAGTGCACAGCAGGTTGTCGACAAGCCGACCGTGTATTGTACACGTAAGCCATATATTTGAAGCAAAATTGAGAACAACAAGCACCGTTCCTACCCATGCACCAGGGTGTCAGTGTGACAGTGCTTCGCCCAAAAGTGCAGCTTGGGTCACTCGGTCTGTGCGAGTTCCGTTTCTCTGAAAAAAAGGCAGCGGAGAAAGGGCGTGCCAGATTACACTTCCTCCAGACTTTTGTTTGCCGACATTTTCAGATTTACAACCGGTCACTGCATTCTAGACAGCAATAGAAAAGAGTAATGGACGAGCTTAGGCTGCCGTATTTCCAGGATAAAGTTGCTATACCATCGCCTACCACTTAAATTTTTTAAATTCCTGCACTCATCGCAAATGGTCGTACTTGGAGTGATGACTGTTTGGTCGCAAGTCCATTACCAGTATTGGTTAGTGTCACAATAAGTACTCTTCAAAGTAGCTCATCGATTCTGACACTGGGAATAACGTTTGTCCGCGCATTCGTTGTGTAACTAATTACTCTGCCTAAGGAGTATATGGACGGGAGGACACTTGGCACATTGATGAAATGGTGGCCGGAAAACCATGGCTCAAGCAGCCAGCGACTCGCGTGGATGTCACCTCTTGCGAGAATTCCTGCCGCGTTAGATTTGAAGGTGTTGTAGTGACATTTAAGTCTGTTTTGTTTTAATCAGTTACAATACGCTTCGATACAACTTTGAATAAGACAAACAACACGCACGTGCACTTTTACCTGCCGACGACTTTGTTCTTATTTACTAGTTTGTAACTGTTGGGACACTGCTATTTTCGTATCCTGGATAGCCTACTCGCTGTGCCCAACTAGTGGGTTTGTCTCTTACAGTGTCACCAGGTCCCGCTGACCTAGGAGCAACATAAGAGCTGGTGTCATTCTTCTTTACTATTGCTGCATATTCAGCCATCCGCGTCCTGGTGGTCTTCCAGTTTCCCCGAAAGTAGTTGTTTTGGCCGTAACTGAATCCGATCATATAAACAACGCCTACCGTAGCAGTGTACCTCTCAACATAATTGCCTGGCGACTGATGACTGCTACTGGTCTGTGTAAGACTCACACTTCAGGAGGTATCAGAAGGTTGAGACGGGTTCCGAGGCGCTCTTGATACATGACAGGTCTTGCCGCCCTTTTGAGCATCGTTTACCCTAAGATGATGCTCTGTGGGATAATGAATCTGAGTGTAGGGCCAAAATGCCAGGGAAATGATTTTTTGCTTCGCTGATCGCCACTCCTTCTTCACAGTATAAACTCCCTTCCAACACATCCCTACAGATACCATACATTTAAATCGAGAATCAACCTGTCCGGTCATTTTCAAATTTACCGCAATGAAAGAGACTAACTGATGCCGGAACCTTCATAACAGACGTACACGCATGTCTCGGCTGCTTAAACTGTCCCATAGTATTCGATCATAGTCGCACCTACGAAATTCTTCAGCGAACAAGCGCATTCCAGACGCATCAGAACACCTCGCATACACCCCCAAACTACACACGAACCTACTCCACAACAGACTCGCATGCAACACTTGACAACCACGCACCATACATCACTCCTGCATCATGCATGCGGTCCAGTCCTTCAGTATTGGTACATGGGGTAGGGGTGGGGGGAGGCATCACATGCATGAGTACTCACATCTCACGTGGAAGGTCTGTGATGTTGCAAAGTCTGTTACGTTTGGATTAAGGGCCAGGTCATGTGGTACACATAGCGGGGCCGTTTTTAGTTGTCAGACGTTATGTCCAGTCGATTTTTTCTGGGAGCAACCATTGGTATATCGAAAGAGGAAGGGCAAATGAGGTCGCTACTGGGGAAACGGACTCCCATGACATATCAAGGCGTTCCCTAGCTGCAACGCATGCTGCTCATACTGAGTCTAGACATTATATCATATGCGTATGACTGGTGAACGGCCGAGGTGACACAGGCGTGTTCAGAACTCTGATGTGCTGACTGCACACTCTTCAGTCTATGAGATTTCACCCTGCCATGGACCCTGCCGTGTCTCCTAAGACTCACCGCTGCTTCGGTCCCCGTGCTCAGTACAAGTCCT